CAAGAGCTCCGCTCATTTTTTCCAGCCACGGACAACCAAGGACTACCGCCCAAACTATACTTGCATAGGATTGTAGCCATAGGCGGACTCTGACCCCTACAAAGGCTGAGAAAATCGTCTCCGGGCTGCACGAATGCCTTTTAAAGTGATCTTGAGTTTCGAGATGATTGACAGGTGTCCTAATATCAGGAAGAGTGGAACAAAAACCGGAGTTAGGAAACATTCTTATCTCAATGAGTGCGTTAAAAAAAGAGAGGACGCCTCCGGGATTTCTGTTTCACACGTGACACTCAACCCCCTCCAGGTTTGCTTTCCCGAATTCCTTTTATTCTTGTTCCACCTTTCTACGGCCCTGTCGGCTACATTCCAGTTTGGAAAGGCTACCTGCTTGACCCCTCCCCCCCGTCATCCATCATGCTGACTGGCGTGGCTCTAGCGTCGCCGATGGAAAGGGGGGGGGGAGAGGCGGCGGCACGAGAGAAGGGCATGGGGGGAGAGCCGATTCCTAGAAGGGGGGGGCTCCTAAAATTCCTCACCCAATGCAAACCTTGCCGCGGATGTCTTGGAAGACCCCCCCCCCCCCCTCGCCGTTAGGACTGTTTGGGCAACTTTTTCGCAGCAACGCGCGCGTTTCTCAGCCTCGCTCCTTTTCCCGGGCTTCCTACAAGAGCGGCTCCCATCCCGATGCTAATTTCCCTTTGTAGAAACCCGCCAAGCCCGAGCGAGGCTGGCAAGCGGGGAAGAGGTTTCAGAGGCGTTCACGACTTTGCTCCCTCCGACGCCCTTTGTTAATGGAGCCAGGAGGGCCGGGCCAGGTCTTCGGGGAAAGGGCCTGGGAAACTTTGGCCCCGCGCCCGCCAATGAGAAGCCAGCCTCCGCAGCCCCCGCGCCCACCTACCCCGCGCGCGGGGAGGAGGGGGAAACCGTCTCTCCTGCCCTGGAAGGACCCGGCGCACGCCCAGCCCGGTCGTGGCAGGGTGGGAGCCCGAGGGGGGGGGGGCGCCGCGGATACGAGGCGCTGCTGAGAAGTGAAAAACTGATAAAAAGCAGATTAAGAGAGGGAGAGCGAGAAAGACTGTGTCTAACCCCGGCCAACCTTTCTGCGGACACCCTCGCTTGCTGGCTGGGTGAAACACTTTGCAAGTCCCGTTCATTGCACAAGAGTGAACATTGCGAGGTGTTAAAACAGCGCAATCCCATGTAGAGTTAGTCCAGTCTAAACCCATGAGGAGAGTAGTTCAGATTAGGATGACGCTCCCACCGAAAACCATGCAACTGGGTTATGTCGTGCATGCAGAGCTTTAACTGAATGTATGAATGCAGATCACATGGGTGTAGTAGCCCACAGAGCCCACCAGGGAAAATGAGCGTGATTTCTTTCTTTCTTTTCTTGGGTGTGCGTGTGTGACTTTCCCCTGTAAGGAGCCGCCAACTTCCCTTCTTCCTGGTCCACACTGAGACATGGATGTGCGTGCAGGTGTGGAATCCCACCCCCTCATGGGCCCTCTGTCTGCACCCAGCAAGGCACTCAAAGGGAGGGCCAGAGGCGCGGCGCCTGCGTGCTGCAGGAAGTTGTTCCTGTGGATCATGTCGGGAGACTGGCGCAAGGGCGCAGCCATTAGCTAGTGGGGTGGGGAATCCCGGGAAGGAACCAACGGGGGTGAGGGTTTAAACTCTCCCCCCTCCCGAAAATTTCTTTTGGATTAATTCCTTGCCACTCTTATCTTCTACCCCCCTTTTCGATATTCACTCGCCTGATCTGGGTTGGGGAAATATCTGGAGATTTGGGGGGTGGAACCTGGGGAGGACAGGGTTTGGGGAGGGATCTCATTGGGTACAATGCAATAGACTCCACCCTCCAAAGCAGCCATTTTCTCCAGAGGGACTACTCTCTGTCACCAGGACATCAACTGTAATACTGGGAGATCTCCAGGTCCCACCTGGAGGCTGGCAACACTACCTGACTTGGCCAGATCCGTCGGTTGCTAAGCAGGGTTGGCCCTGGTCAGTATTTGAATGGGAGCCTACCAAGGAAGTCCAGAGGTAGGAAATGGCAAACCGCCTCTGAACGTTTCTTACCTTGAAAGCCTTAAACCATAGATCTGCTGCGACTTGAGGGCCCGGGGGGGGGGGGGAGGAGGAGGGAATTCTTCCACCCTTTTCTAATGCACGAAGTCTGGCATCTGGATCCCAAACTGCGGGATTTAGGGCAAAGTATGAATCTGAGTGTTCCAGAATAATTTGCCGGTAACTTAGACCTTCCACGACTTGTCCTTATGACCGAGTCCATCGTTGGTCCCTGCTAGAAGCGGCCAATCCTTAAACCAGATTCCAGAACAGGGCCCGCTGGATTGCACCATCACCCCACTTTTGGGGGTGGGTAATGGTACTGGAGAGCACGAGGCGCCCTCTCGGACCTTGGGTTGCCCATCTCAGGTCGCAGCAGCTCCGGCTGTGTGTGTGCCCGCGCGTGTGGGTTTCCAGAAGTGTTGGTTCGACTCTGCTCTAGAGTAGGCCAATTCTCATTTGGAGTAGCCGGCCAACTGACTTCCAAAGTCACTTCTCACTGCCTCGACGCTGAAGCAGTGTGGGCGCTCACCAACGCTTACGCCTTGAATAAAACTTTGTTGGTCTTAAAGGTGCTACTGGACTCAAACTTTGTTCTGATGCTTCAGACCAACACAGCTACCCACCTGAACTTAGCTCTTTTGCCTGTTTCAAGTCGTCTCCCCCCCTCCCCTCCCCTCCCCTCCCCTCCATGCAAATTATCGATCCTAGGACAGGCTTTGAAATGGAATCATCTTTCAGTAGATCGGGCTGGCTCAAGAAGGGTAAAAGGTCGGATCCTTCCCGCACTCTTCTCCTCCCCCGCCATTACTCTTTATAAGTAGCTCAGGCAACTCCAAATTTGCATTAACGATTGAGGCTGAAGATTGCTGGGTGCTACTTAAGCCGGAGCGAAAGTGTATAGATCTTTGATAACCTTTCTGGAAAAATCACTCAAACTGCCTTTCTTCTGCCGAATTTGTGCAAAGCAGGCTTCTCTCTCTCTCCCCCCCCCCCCCCATTTCGAAAAGAAACTTCTTTATCACAGAAGCAGCCGTTTTAGGTTCACCCGCCCCCCCCAAAAAAAACTCGGCCCCATCTTGACCAGCCAGCCGGGCTTTCTCGCGTCCCACCAAGTTTGCGACGCATTTAGGATTCCCACGGATTTTCACAGGGATCCGTATCCACATTAGGTGGCTAGGCGCATGAGAGAGAGGGAGAGAGAGAGGGAGGTGGTGGTGGTGGGGGGGAGCGTGTATGTCTTTGTGGTTCCCACTGCAATCGCAATTCAGATTAAGGAAGGGAGAGAGCGAGCGAGAGACAGAAACGGGGGGGGGGAGGTTTGGAAGGGAGAAGAGAAATCTCTCCCCCCACGCAGATATTTGTGTTACTGTAAAAACGCTTGGAAATGCACCGCGAAGGTGTTTGTGCCGCGGAGCCGGGCTGCCGCCGCCGCCACTGCTCGCGTGTAGGGGAGAGGCAAGCGAAAGATCTTAATTGTAAAGGGGGCAGCGAATGGATCCCAGCGATGCAAAGAGCCGTCCGGGAGACCTCGGACCAGGTGGATCGAGAGCGAGGGTAGATGGATCCCACGTCTCCTGGGCGGCCACCTCAGCATCCCCGGGTTGAGTCGATCCTACCCACCTCCAACTCTTCCCCCCCCCCTTGCCTTCCTGGCGCCAGCCCGCCCGGCTTAACCAAACCCTCTTACCTTGCCTCCCGCGCCTACCCCCACCCCACCCCCACGACGTCCTTCCAGTGGGCGGGGGAAGGGGTGCCCTCCCCTCCAAGACCTTTCCTGGGATGGATGGGGGGGAAAGGTTCCTCCCCCCCTTTCCGGCTCGCTTTTTGGCCTCCCCCCCCTCGCTGAATTCTGGTTAATTTCATTTTGGCTGGCTTTCAGCAGAAGGCAGCCCGGGCGAAGCAATCGGAGCCGCGCGTGTGCTGGGAGTGTGTTGGAGGGTGGTTTTTTCTCTTTTCTTTTCTCTCCCCCCCCCTTCTTCGTCTTCTTCTTGTTCTCTTGCCGGGTACAATGTTAAAAAGCCACCGCTAGTCGCCCCCAGTGCTCCTACTCTCTAGGTCTTTTTTGTCTCTAGTGCAGATTAAACGTCACGTCCGCACTTGAACTTGAATTTTTATCCCATTGTACGGAGGCAGCCCCAGCCATAGAGAGACAGAGCGCTCCCAGGGAACCAGGACTCCGCCATCTTCACACTGCAATATATCTCCTAGTAATAGCCAGCGCTCACCCAGAAGCACTGGGGGGGGGGCTTCTTTGCTAAAGCAAGAGACCCTGTGCCAAGCGGAGTGGCCTGTGGCAAAGTGGGGGGCGAGCAAAGCCAAGCAAAAAAAAAATTATATATAGCAAAAGGGGGAAAAAAAGCAAAAACAGCAACAACAAAAAAGCAACCAATCCAGTGGCACTTGAACTGGCGATGAGGAGACACAGTTTGGGCTACCCCTAAAAAAATCCAATTAACCCAGCAAAGGGTAATTTTTTCTCTGCATTCTTTTCTCTCTGCGTGTGGCAAATCCCATTTTTTCCTTACTTTTGGGCAAGCGCTTGTGTGTTATAATCCAGTTTTTTAAAAAAAGAACCCTCCTGGTGGAAGAAGTGCACTTTGCTTTTTTAACTTTTTTTTTTTTTGCTAAGCACTTTGGAAAAATAAAAGTGTCAGTGCTTAGTGGGGTAGGGAGGGGGGGAGAGACAAACCATCCTCCTCTCCCGAAGTTGAAGAAAAAGACCTGGAAGCGGTAAAAAGAGGAGGGGGAGGGAAAAAAAGACAGTTTTGCGAAAATAAAACCAGCCCCCCCTCTCCTCCTGCGATGATTATTTTTAATTGAAGGCAGAATGTCATCTTGAAGTAAGCAAAGGAGGAAAAAGCAAAACAAAACAGCAAAGAGTTTCTTCTTTTTTTTGCAAGTTCTTTCTTTTTTCTTTTTTGGCAAGATCATTCAAGAAGAAGAAAAAATAAAAGAAGAGGAGGAGGAGGAGGAGGAAGAAGAAGAAGATCGGTGCCCCCTCCTCCAACCTCACCCCCCTACCCGAGTCCAGCTCTCCGGGCGATGACCAAGTAAATGCCAGGGCAATGTCCCGTCGCAAGCAGGGGAACCCGCAGCACTTGTCGCAAAGGGAAATTATCACGCGTAAGTTGCAACTCCCCACCAAGCCGGTTCGGAAGGGAAACTGTGTGTAGATGGGCGCGGGGAGGGGGCAGCAGAAAGAAAGGGCGAGGAAACCTGGGTTGTGTGTTTCTATGTGTGGCGTGGAACTGACCAGGAGAGGGGTTTTTTTTGGGGGGGGGATAACTGAAACGAAGGGTCTTTCAGAGTTAGGAAGGAGGGAGGGAGGGTGCCGGTGGGTGTGTGTGGCTGGCTGGCTGGCTGCGAGGACGGGGGGAGAGAGAGACGAGGAGGAGAGTGGGGGGAGCGAGAAGGGGGTGGCGGTGGGAGAAAAATGCAAAGTTTCGAGGCGAATTTTTGCAGGCAGGCGTTGGAGGGAACGGAGGACGCGGCGAAGCCGGTTTGGAAAGAAAAGGGCATTGGGGGGGAGAGAAAGAGGGGTGGGGGGGGGGTTGGAAAAGGCCGGTCCAAAGTTGGCGAGCTCAGGAGCGGCCGCCGCCGCCGCCGGGGAAAGAAAGGTGGCTGGAGGTGTGTGTGTGGGGGGGGAGAAGGCTAATGGGAACCACATGGAGAAAGGACGCCTGGCCCGGGCTGGAGCGGCGAGGCCGGAGTGGGGAGCCGCACAGAAGGAGTGGGGACGCGGAGGAGGCGTGGGGCGCTCCGGAGGCGCAGGGGGGAGTGAGCGCGCGTGTGTGTGGCTGGGTGGGGGGAGCGGGAGAGGGGATGCGGTGGCCGAGGCTGTCCCCCCCCCCTCCCCCGTTGTTCAGGGAAGGCGAGCTCGCTACCGTAGGCGGGACACGCCGGTCGGGGTGGGATGTTAATGCCCAGGTAACCGGCCAGGCCCCCCGGTCTGGCTGTCCCGGCCGAAAGCCTCGGGGGGATGTGTGTGAATGCCAGTCTTGGGATCCCAGAAGCGAAAGGGGTGGTAGGCGGAGGGGGTCGCGGGAAAGCGTGTCGGGGAAGGGTCTTGCTGAGGCAGGCTAGCCCCCTTTGGCACGGCCGAAGAGCGCGCACTTTGCAAAGGAGCCCAAGTCCTGGCCGAAGGCGCCGCTTCGGTCGGCACAAGGTGATGGGATCTTCATTGTCCCGAAAGTGTCCCGGGGAAAGGCGTTTGGGTGGTGGGCGAGAAGGGAGAGCCGCACAGAAGAGGCCAAGCCGAGGAGCCGAAGAGGGAGGGTGGGGGTGGGGGAGACCCAGGGAGGCGCTTGTCTAGGAGCTCCGGAGGAGGCAGTTTGCGGTAGTTGCAGTCTCCTTTTGCAAAGCCTCTTTTTTCTAGGTATATCTGCAAGCAGATCCGCAATCCTTTAGTTCACTTTCTTCTTGTTTGCTGTCCCCATCGCTGAAATGCAATATAAAGCCTTGCACCTCTGCGGTGTCCTAAAGATTGGAGGAAGCTTTGTAGCTGCCCAGATAGCTTCAAAAGGGGGCGAAAAAGTCCCCTGGGGGGGGGGTTAGAAAAAGGGAAAACATTCGAGGTGGGGATGGTGAAAATTGGAGAGTTTGGGCCGGGGGGAGAAGGCGGGGGGCCCGGGGAGGGGGAAGAGCCAAAAGACATTGCAAGCCCAAAAACCCCGTGCAAAACGCCAAAAAGAACAGCTCCATTGCAAAATTGCCGTTGCGCGTGGAGCTAGACCGGCAGAGAAAAGGAGGGGGCAGCGAGAGAGACAGACAGAGAGAGAGAGAGAAGGGGACCGAATTGGAGAGGCTGTGCGAAAGAAATTATGCTATATTAAAAAAAAAATTAAATACATACATATATATGGGGAAAGAGAGTCTCAAAAGCTTTCCCCCCACGCCCGAAAACCTAGCAGCCATCTGCCAGCACCGTTTGGTGCCAGGGCTCTCTCTCTCTCTCTTCCTTGCCCTTTGTTACAGCTGATAAAAATGTTATTTTTTAAAAAGGAATTCATTGGGATTCTATTGATGGGCGAAGGCAGGCGCTCCCACGCGGGTGCGGGGCAGGGCTTGACTTGTGACTGTTCCTCTGCGCCCCCCCTACTTTATTGTCATTTCTCCTTTTTTCTCTCCTTTCTTCCCTTCTTATCTCTCCCCCCCCCCCCCATGTGTCCGGCTACAGCACCAATGAAGATGCATTTGGTAGCTGGCTTTTTTAATTGATTTGGAGCGGCCGCTTTGGAAACTGGGTGCTCCTGAGACTGCCAAAGAAAGTGGATTAAAAACAACTTGAAACCAAACATTTTTGGGGTTTGCGGCAATATATATATATTTTAATTAGAAACTCCAGCTGGTTTGTAAATTATCTTGTCTTTTAGGAAGGGGGCCGTGGAGGGTGTGTGTGTTGTTAAATCAGATGATTTCCTATAGCTCTTCTTTCTTCCCTGCCTTCCTTAGCTAAGAGAGTTTGGTTTTTGGGATGATGGGGAGCGGGAGAAAAGGTGGGGGAAGGTTCTTTAGAGATGAGGGTGGTAGACAGAAATGTGCTTGTAAATTTGGTTTCAGATTATCCTTTTAGGATGAGGCGAGGCAGGTGGGGCTGTTGATAATGTGAAAAATGAGGGAGGTATAGGATTTGACATGGGGGTAAACCCACCTAGGTAGGGGGCTGTTGGGAGTAATGGAAGGGGCACCCCAAGGATCTAAGGAGCTCTCTGGATAGGGTGGCTGGTGTGGAGTATGGGGTTGGCTGGTTTGTGGGGTCTCTTCCCACAGTTTCTCCTCTTCCTCTTTCTGTTGGGGAGAGGATGCCCTCTTGAATTGTGCAGGGGGAATAAAAAAAAAGTAATATGGAGAGGTGGTGGTGGGCATCCAATGGGGGGGGGTATGAGTGTGTTCTTGTGCAGAGCAAAACCATCCAGACATGCAGCAGGTCCAGGTTTTTTTTGGGGGGGAACCCAACGATCTGGGAGAGAGGCTTTTCACCAGGCAGCAGTTAAGTTGGACCAGTTTCCAGGCAAGGAGCAATAAATTATCAATAGAGGAGCCTGTTTAAACAAAAAAAGAAAAGGAAGGAAGCAGAGAGACACCCCCCCCCCGAAGTTTTTCCAGGAGAAGCACAAAGCAGAAGGATCCCCATAAATATGAAATGGGAAAGCTCTCTCTCTTGCCATTCACCACGTTACACCCACCCATCTCCCCCCCCTTTTTCTTGAATGAATTTGTTGTTGTTTTTTCCTGAGATCTTTGAGCTCCTTTGATGCTTCATTGTGAGGCACTTGTCAGGAGAATCGCCCAGCATTTCAGGGTACATGGCTAAGTGGCGTGGGGGTACAGGGAGGAGAATTGGGGTCATTCTTAAACCCTTTTAAGTTGGAATTTATTGGATTTCAAGGCTCTGGGGGGTTGCTGAAAAGAGGCCTGATCCTGAAAGAGAGGAGGCTCTCTCTGATCCTGTACATGGGTGCTCAGAATTAAATCCCACTGAGTTCACTGAAATTTACTCCCTTGTATGCAAGCATAGAATTGCAGGGTACAATCCAGATTTAGTTCAGACCAACAGAGGATTTTTTAAAATACTGTCTCCCTGGGATGCTTTCTGATTTTACAGTAGGCTTTAAAAATGTAATTTATTAAATTTAGTAGTGCAGTCCCCTGTCTTCTACAGCTTCCACCCTCACCCCCCAAGTAAATCAAGCCCTGTTTGTGATCAGACAAGAAGCTGATGAAGGAACACGCTTAAGTTTGTCTCCCATGATGAGTCGCTGTGGAAGATACAGCAGAATTATGTAACAATTAGAAAGTGAAAATGGAATCTGTGTGTGAGAAGCAGACCTAGATGTTGTAGGGCCTTCCCGTGTGTAAGGTCGGTTTGATTTCCACCGCAGGTTTTAGTCTTATTTTTTTAGTTTGGGTCTTTCCAGTTAGAAACAGGGAGGTTTGAGTGCTGCTTCTGCATTTTAGAGTGAAAAGGCATATTTGAATGGAGTCAAGGTAGCCCCCTTCTCTGCCGGCAAAATCACCTTCATTCATAAAAAGGGGCTTGAGTCCACCTGAAGAAACTTCATGGGGAGGGAGCCATTGAGAAAACCATCAGACATTCTTGGGCACCCCACCTCCCTGCAATAAAACTCAAATCCCTGCACAACAGGTTATAAGCAGAGCTTTCCGATCTGACTCTGTTGATCCATGATGTGTTCTGATGATCATGATATTGAGAAAACACGTCTATACATACGAACATCCTTTAAAAGGGGGAGATTCCTTGCCATTAAGAGGCAATTGAGGAAACTAAAAGACATAGTTCCAACACGTAGGTTCTGATACTGAATGTAGAGGTGTTCGTAAAAAAAAATGGGGAACTTGTATTTGGGGATCTACCTGCTGGTGTATGCAGCAGGTGTTGCATTATGACTCAAGAAAGTGCTATGAAACAATTGCATTCTATACTGGAGCTTCCTTTTGACTAAGCCTGGCACATGAATTTCTTCGCTTATCGCAGAATTAAAACTGGATCCATGCCCCCGTTCCCCCCCCTCCCTTTGGACACTTCCGAGCCTTCTGTCCACTTTTAGAAATGCTTGTTTGGAGTTGATGTGCTCAGGATAAGAGAAACAGCTTTGCGAACTGAGGGTGGACTCTGAAACAGCTTTGCTTTTTTCTGTGGTAGGCAAACACAGAGGAGCATATTTTGTCAAGCTTGCCGAAGCATTTTAGTAAGCATGGCTTAAAAAGCTTTCTTCCTTTTTTTGTTGGTTTTGTTTTGTTTTGAAACGTGGTCGTGCTTTAATGGCAAGCATTGGCAGGAGCCTGTGCCTTGTGTCGTGTGTTGGAGTGCTGTTGTTGAACAAAGGACCGTCTTGTAGGGCAGGCTAGGAGGAGGATGGTAGGAATGAATGTGGTCCAGGTAAAGGAGGCCAAATTAGAGGCGATGGCCAGCTCCCTTGACACCTACCCTGCCTCCCTTATCAGAAGGAAATGTGCTGGGAGCTTGCCCTGCTGGCTTAAAACATTTTGCACAATGCTTCCCCCCCCCCCCCGTTTTAAAAACATTTCCTATCTCGATTGCCCTGTGCCCCCTTGTTTGTTGATGCCAGATACTTTCCAAAATAAACTTTGCAGGCTTTCAG